TTTTGAAAAACTTCAATAAGATCCGCGCCATACATCAAGGAACATTAGTCCATATTCCATAATTAAAAGAATGGGATTCATTTTAAGTTGAATGAAAAAGAGCTTTATTTAACCTCGAATTCTCCAGGTTTAGATAATTTTAGACGATTATTAAAAATGACGACTGCAGGGTTTTATAATTATATTTACCTATAAAGCTTACATCAGATATTTAATTACTTAAGTAAATAAGACAGATTATGATCGATGATCGTGATTTGTAAATTCAACTGAACGGAAAGACTTTCGATTATGAATATTAGTGGCTTAATTGAAGGCAAAATATATATATTCAAATGACCGGCCTGCATGCTAATTGATGTAGCTTTCGCTTACTCTTATGATCAAGCCAGTTATGCAAGCAGATCCGTATGTCCTGTCAGGTTTTCTCTTATTTGCTCAAGGCTATTGCTTCGAAAAAAAATTTTAATTAATTGATCTGACAGGGCTATCCACCAGGATTCAGCATTTTAAACAAAGTAAAGGAAAGCTACCACCCAATAGCGGGTAAAAGGTAAAATCCCCCAACGCCATCTCTCAATTAACCAAGTGGCCTGAGAATGGATAGGAATTAAAGTAAAAGTCACTTCCTATCAAGAATAACACGAGGGAAATGATATAGTGCTGGCCAGAATGTCTTCGGGGTATATCATTCCAGGTTCTGCAATTTGTAAAAATTGATAATGTGGTGGTTCCATTGGGTAACTTCTTCTCCTTCTAGTATATATGAACCATTACGTAGTTTTTGTTACGTAACCTGCTCTATTAAGGTCAGATTAATTATCTTGCGCTGCAAGCATCATTTCTTAATTTCAAGCTTTCGATTTTCTTAAAATTGGACGTATGCGAATCTTGCTATAGAGGAAAGTGTCCTATTCGAGTGGATAAACCCAATTCTTTATCCGCCTCAGCAGATGCTCAAAATAGACTGAACAGAAGCTCTATGATTTTGAAATAGGAGGAAAATTAACTAGGAAATGAAAAATCAGATCATTGAAATTGCTGCGTGTGTCAAAGCTTACCACTGGTTGAAGAAGTTTCGATGCCATATCAAATCATCACCCAATAAAAACCTAGAATCCACTAGCTAAGGTAGATTCTAAAAAAATTTTATATCATAGAAATAGTGGGTAGAATAACTAGTACAGCAATGATAAGGAATTTATGTTCGTACGGCATATGGGACAGGTTGAATCAAGAAATGCGCCATGCAAGTACCCGTCATTAGCACAGAAAACCACGTTTTTCACATATGAAAATTCCTATCAAAAATTGCAAATGGCCAACAAATTGGAAGGGCACTATCGCAGCTTGGGTTTTGACAGAGTGTATCTCCTGTTTTCATAGGCCAACAGCTGGTTGGTAATGAAAGGATCGGAAGGTGATGAGCCTCCGCGTTCAGAACCAGCTAGTCCCATTCCTTATACAAGCAGGTGCTATATGGATTTAGAGTAAGTTGTTTCTCCCTGACATAGGACATGGATCTTGTCATCCTGCTCAACATTTAGATAAGCTACTATTTTTATTTTTATATTTCCTTTTCGTTTTTTTTTTTTTTTACCAAGCAGCAGAAAATGATAAGAGGCATGGTGCAGAACCTGTTTTTGTTTTTAATCTATCCTGACAGGAACTCTCTTTTTTGTCAATTACCAAGTTCAAGAACTTCCGCACATCTATGCTGTCCTTAATAAAGATGTTCTGCTTTTGTTTCTAAGGGCTCAAATCAAGCATTTTGGTGCACGCACGGGTGTCTGATGCGTGTGAGATACAGAGCATGAGCATTTTGTGTTGAGAATAACATAGGCCTGGGATTTGGGAAGACTTGTGAAGATTTCCCAACCTTCTTTGCAATAAATGAGAAATTTAATTATCGAAATAGCAAATTAACCTACCTACAAAACGGCTGAAAACCTTACGCAAATTAACTACAAAACAAAAACTCAAAACTGTTCATTGCAAAAATACCGAATGTGACAGAATTTGGAGTACAAAGTATTTAGCATTGCCTCCTAGAGATGCTTAGTGCTATACAATTTGTACTGAACAGATTGCACAATTTTCGTTTTGTTGGACAATGTGAACCATGGAGCTTGTTGTTCCTTCCTTTCCCTGTGAAGTAAATGTAAGAGCTTCAAATAAGCATTGCTAAACTTGCTGGAAAGTTCCTCTTTTGCACATGTTGTTTAGCCTAATGGATTCAGCTACTCAGCACCCAGCTTCTCTATTGATTTTACAAATTTGCAGCGGGAGTCTGCCATACTTTTCCGGTGAGAGAGCAATAACAAGTGGCCGCAACTCATTATCTTGATCTTCTTGATTGCTCATAACACACATAGGAGTGATATTCCTGCCATCTTGACTCGTTTACTTTTGGTAGTTAACTGGCTGCTAGACAATGAAACCATGTCCTGGGGTATGCGGTATGCATTCACCCCCGATGTAGCTTACACCAATCCACCCTTTACCATCGGGGCTAAAATGTGAGGTTATAGTATCATTAATTGCTGAACAACGCTGAAATGGCCATCAATTGCAGCCTGGATATCCATTTGATCGGATAACTGCATCATCTGATCTTGTTGAAGATCACACCCAATTTTCATCTTGAATTACTTAATGAGAGCCTACCAAAGCCACAAAGATTCTGTTCAAAAACAGGCAGTAATTTTGTGTTGGATTTTTTTTTTAATATATATATATTTACAGTTAATGGGTATTCTAGAGCTAACTTTCGCATCAATTGAAACTAAATCTTATCACTTATATATCGTGCTAAATCTTATCACTTATATATCGTGCTAGGTCAATGTCAGATCACGTCTAACCTTATAAGTTGCAACCTGTAAAGCACCCTTTCTTTAGTCAAGTACTTCCTCAGCAATCCGATAGAGCCTGCAATGCCTGCACCTTTTAATTTTAATTCCTTTCTCGTAAAGGTCATCCTGTCGTATGGAATTTTAGCATATCTAGCCTAATCCTAATGTTCTTAATCTGTTCTGGTTCCATCAACTGCTGAATGATAAAGGAACTGGGAAAACATGTCAATGTGGAATTTTGTTTGATTATTGTCTGCGTATATTAGTGATGGTTTCTTAGTTTAGCGTACAGGCTATTTTTTCATTGTTGTCTTCTGAAGTCGGGATTGAGCCTCGTGCCAATTAGTTGCTTTCTAATAAATAAATAAAATTTTATTCATGAGAAAAAAGGAGAGAAAAAATGGATTACATTAGGATTAAGTAAAGAAAACGACACATGATCTACCAAATTAGATATGCATCAATTAAGAGAATTTGTGCTGGAGTTACACTTTCTCTGACATAACATAATCATGACCACAGATTTTGAAGAAAAAAATAAACTGCGTAGTTTGGAAATAGTATTCACATTGACATTTTTGAGTCCTGTTGTCAAGGATTCTTTCCTGTTTATAATTGGACAGTTGGATTAGACGATGTTTGGAGTGATTTCTTTGTTTTGCATATAGTACAAATCACTTCCTGCTATGAACACCAAATTAGCAGGTGATTATAAAAGTTAGGATTCGAACATGGAACCTCAAACTCTTTTGCTTTTCCTCAATAGCACTCCAGTCACAAGCTCCTTGATTAGTTACACAAAGTTTCATACGTTTTCTTTCATGCTTGCATCAACATTGCTGTTGGAATTTCGTCTATAAACATTGCATCTGGAAAACCATTAAAATGAGAAAAATAGCCGACATCACAAACAGAACCATCATGCATGAACAGCTTGGTGTTCAAGCCTGTTCATGAGTCGATATCAAAGAGTAATCCTGATCAATGATGGCACGAGTCAATATCACTACGTTTTTCATATTCAAGTTTTGAGGTTCCCTCTCACAGCATTCTATTTCAAAAAGAAAATTCTGTAAGATGATGACATAAATACTTACAAATAACATCAAGAATATATTCTCCAAAAAGGATTAACTTCTAGGTTTTGTTTTGAGATCACTGATGTTCATCTTGAACAAAAAATGCACACATGAACCTAGCCCATGAGCATGTCCAGTATATGTAACCAAAAAGGAATTAAAGGGAAGCAACAAACTTCAGTACTGGTGAAACACTAAAAAAGGCTACCGGCATATCATTTGGAACTTTCACAGATGAGATGGCAAAGACTTAGAAAAGAGAGGCTAGTAAAAAGCATTCGTTCTTCCTAAAGAAAACTGTGCACATGAACCTAGCCAATGAACATGTCCAACATACTTTAAAGGGAATAAAAGGGGAGCAACATACTTCAGAACTTGTAAAACACTAAAGAAAGTTGTCGACAATATCAGTGGGAACTTGCACAGAAGACATGGCAAGAACTTGGAAAAGAGAGACTAGCAAAAAGCATTCAGACTCGGGTATGCAGGTCACTGCATCTACATAACAAACTGGGCTGTAACAGATGGCATTGTAACATACAAAGATCAGTAGCCTCTAAAGAGAAAGTCATCTTTAGGATCAAGTCAAAACAAATGTTCAGACTTTTGGGACTGATACCAGGACCATCCACACAAGAAATGGCAAGGACTTGGAGAAAAGCAATCAGTATTCAGGACATTGCACCACTAAAACAAACAAGGCTGACAGAAAGCTAACATCCCGGGGTTCATAGACTCTAAAGAAAGTTCATTTTATGGTCAATTCCAAAGAAATATTGGCATTTTTTTTTTGGACCACCATTGCATACAACATATGGCCCAGGATCGAAGAAGCAACAAGGGAGAGATTCCACCCTAGAGGAACAGGCATTTCTTCCATATATAAATATAACATAACAAAAGAAACAGAAACGGCAAATAAAAGCCTTAAAAAAAAAGTGAATTTTCTTAGGAGGTTTGAACGCTGTAATACCATCATGATGAAGTATTTGACAAAGGCTTACAAAGCTACAAAATGTTAAAGATTTCATAGTCAAAGAAAAATGATGCAGCCATTAGTTCTTCATTACTGAATATAATCTTTTAGAACGCTGCTTCTCTGCTCTAATTTAGCATTCCTCCGCCAATTGTCTACTGCAATGCGAACAATGGCATTTGCCTGACGTATCTCCTCAGCAGAGAACTTGTGCTCCACTATTCCCAATGGTCCAGGTTGCAGTACCTTAACCACGGTTTCCATCTCTTGTTCAAGCTGCCTGTATCACATAAGATTTTTAAAAAAAAGTACAATTTTCCCTGGGATTTGGTAAAATAATGGAAACAAGGAATCCATGATTTTACTCTGAAATGAAAACCTAATTACTAATAACATAAATTAAGGATGAACACGAAATGGTAAAAAGAATATTGCTTTGTACCTGACGAGTCTTGAAAAGGGGAAGGCATTGCGCAGTCCGTAAAGAGATATGCGCATCTCTCTCTGTCGTACGCTATCAGTCCCTCTATTTTGCGATTCAATTGAACTCAAAAACACAGAAAAGTGGCCAAGAAGAGAGACGGTTGGTTTTGTTTCTGTTGTAAAACGATGCCGTTTTTGGGTGCGAAAATAAAAATTTACGACTCCACTGGGGATCGAACCCAGAATCTCTGGTTCCGTAGACCAGCGCCTTATCCATTGGGCCATGGAGTCCTCACGTGGAAGGCCTCCCTCAAAAGTATCTATTTTAAATCAAGCTGTTCCATTCTCTTGGATTGGGTCAATGCCTGGATTATTTATAGCAAGCCTAGTGTAACTGGTTTCCTTCGATTTAATCGATATCACCGATTCTTTTATTTTTGGGTTAAACTTTCTATCTTTTCTTTAAATCTAACATCAAGAAACGCATAACTTAAAGGGGATTGATTGCATTGAAATGTCACATGGTGATAATTTTGTGTCGAAATGATTGCGCATGCCGGCCCACCCATGTCCTTGCCTATTTTATATATTTTGCAGTTTGTCGGTGCACTTGGCCCTTGGGTTGGGTTTGCGAGTTGTTACAGGTAGCACTTGACGATGAATTTGTAACTCGATTCTCATCTACACCTCTCGTACGTTACTTAAAAATTATCAAGTTCCAATCTCTCTTTCATAAATAAATAAATAAATAACTCAAATTACATAAAATTGATGTTGTTGATGTGAAGGATATGATCCTCATTAGCGATACAGGCAACTTGCATATGGTCCAGCTGAAGCTGGATAAAATACACAAGAGTCGCACCTACTTGGGGATGTAGTCATTTGACTTCTAATCATGTTTGTGCAGAAGCAAGCAAAGTTGCACACCGTGTAGCTGATTTAGCTAGAGTGGTGGTGTCTGATGAACTGATCGACATGGAAGAGGTTAGTGATGATAAATATGATGAGATTAGCCTTCAGATGTGCCTAATGAAATCATTCATCTTCTCCAAAATTTCTAAAGTAGCTGGATGATATCAAGAATTGCTTGAAATGCATGTCCTGACAATCCTCATACATTACATATTTTCCAGAGATCATGACCTTTAGAATACAAGTTTGATTGAGTGCCTGCTGCCTTCAACAGTCCATCAAACAAAACCTTATGGGAGCAATCTCAACAAACTTGGTAACTCAGTACCAACACTCCAAAACCATGCACCAAGCTGAAACTAGACGAAATCACACTATATTTTACTATACACTTTTTTAACTTAAATTTTTCACACGCATTTACAGTCACGAAACCGAGTGACGCCTTCTCTTCTGAAACAAGAACCTTGTTTCTGAGTTAGCCTTGCCCCCTATGGGTTTAAGACCGTTGATTCGGAATAGGGCATTAAGCTTGCTTAATTTTTTGGTGAAGGATTTGAACAACTTATTAGCAGGATGAGACCTTACCAGCTCCTGTTTCATGGACACGTGATCCTTTTCAAGATCAGTCAGCCTCATTCTCATTCTCGCTACTTCAAGCTTCAGCTCTCGGTTCTCTCTTCTAACTGATGCATAATTATCCCTTGGAGAGATGGCTCCACTTCCTGCGCCACTGCCTGAACGTTGAGGGAATTGACCATTTAATGCACCAAAGAAGAACTGGTTGTGTCCCCCATTCATTGCATTTCGGAGCCTGATCTGTTCAAAGTATAGAACTTGGACTGCCATCTGTACAGGTAACCTTTCATTTTGTGCAGCATGGCTGCAGGCTTCTTGAGATAATTTCTGACAATCGATCGTCTTGCAGAGTCGGTAGCGTTCAGAATCTTTAATGTTTGGATGAACCTGTAAATAGGTCATGAACAAAACACAAACTGGCGTTCAAATCTTATAAATGAAAAATCCAGAGGCATGCAGATGAAGTCTGGAACAGCATACTGCTTTTGTGAATACACACAGAGAAAATTAGGAAGAGTAACTAACTTTGAGGAAGATATCCACAGCTCTGTACAATCCATCACTAACTATACGAGCATGGTCTGGAAGTAGTTCTGCTAATGCTATAAACTTTGATGGCAGCAAGTTTGATTCTAGCGCAACTTCTGCAAGAAAATTATCCAGTAACTTTGATACCTTTAGAATTGAGCTCTGTTTAGGAGAACCAGGGCTGTCAAAATCATAAACCATTTCACTTTCATCCCGCAAGTTGTCGTCTTCGTCATCATCCTCATCCAAGTTTAAAAAGATAGAGAAGATCCTCAATATGGAATCAGTATCATACATCGTGCAGTGGTTGTTTCCATGTGAATTTGCTGGTATTAGGATGTCCTCAAGAATTGCCTGATCTAGTTGAAGACCAATCCTCCTCTCCAAATCAGATCTGCAAGAAGTAATTGCTGATGACGCTATAGCAGTTTTTAATAAACTTGAAAGAAAAGCCATTGGAACCGGACACTTTCTTGATTGGGTTGGCAGTAAGCTAACTATTGCTTCAACGATGACTCTTTGTTTCTTCTGCAACTCCAAATCCAAGAGACTTCCTTTAACCAATTGAGGGTCCCTGACAACAAGGCCTTGAAGAGAATTATGGGCATAATTTATCAAAATTTTGCTAATCATATCCTGTTTTAGACCCTTTGATTTTACTGCGGATAGTACCCTTTGGAAGAAATCAAGATTCAGAACTGCTAGTGATTTTCCCCACCAGTCTAATGGTGTTTCTGGTTCCATATTTGGCATAGTTTTTGCAGGGTAGTTGTGGTCAAGCTTTAACAAGCCAGAGGTCAGTTGCTCTTTGCATGCATTGCTTGCAATTGCATTGATAAGCCTACTGACCAGGTTGATCTCTTCCGCGATGGGCAATAGAGTTTCACAACGGTGAAGAACAGAAATTGAACTTGATATGTTCGGGAGCACCATCTCCTTCAGATACGCTTCAGCTCGAGCTTCCAAGTTCTTCTCTGCGAAATCTTCTGTCATTTCCAGAAAATGTGCGGCACAACATAACATAGCAACATTTGATTGTGTAATCTCAACATTTACTCCATAGCAGAACTTTGCAGCAAGCTCGAAGGCCTCAGGTCCACCCGGCACAGCAGGGATATTTATGCGTGAGACCTTTGAATCTTTCGCTTCCAGCAACAGTTTACGAATTCTTCCACTTCGAGAAACTAGAGGAAACTGCATAGAATTCGAAATGGTAAAATTAATGCTTCCAGTGAAGTTTTCTCTTCTTTTTTTCCTTTTTCTCTCACCATAAATCAGTCCTTTTTTTTTAACATTTACATACTATAACATTAAACAGGTAGAAAATTTTCTGTCCTGAATACCACAAACGATGTCAAGGGGTCAGAGGTAAGAAGATCAGGAAGCTGTTTTAGATCCTAAATTCTATTTTAATATGCATGCGCATATGCATGAACTAGATTTTCCTTACCTTGTGAAGTGCAAAGCTTGATGCTCCGACTTCGACTGTAAGATCACTCGAAACATCCGAAATTGGCCTGCAAGATGGTAGAATGATTGAAGCGGAACTGCAGAAAAAACAAACAAAAAATCCAAAAACAAAAGGAAATAAATGATTCCTACACATTTGTCAGTGCCAATAATTTAGAGACCGTATAGGAGCTTCTATCATAGGGCTGAACTCCCATTTTTTAAACCATAAATTCCAAATAGATTCACTGGAGCGTAAGTTCTTTAGTTCTATCCATACACAAATAGCTTAAGGACTATATATGTAAGTTTTTTCTGGAATAAATTAAGCATGAGGTAACCACCTCATATCTATGGACTTCGTGATCCATCTTGATTGTCTGAATCGACAAAGATGGCCCAGATGAAAAAAACAAGAACTCGATTATTACACAATGAGTGGGACTGCCCAAGCAGTATGGCAGCAGGCAATATGGTTATATTTTCTAACTGTAAAAAACCTGAACTGCAGAGTGCAGAACTGGTTGTTCTTATGCAATGGAAACAGTTTGGAAATTTTACAACCTACATAGATATGACAGGATGCATATGGGTCACATTTGAGTTAAGAGACAGATGTTTTTGTCTCCAATTGTGTCATACTGTATGAATTATTGGCACATGTTTTAAGTCCTATCCACGGTTAATAAACAAAAACAAAAACAAAACAAAACAAAACAAAAAAACAGGCGAATCATTGTGTGGTAAATGGTAAAACATTAATTGCAATTCATAAAATTGAAGATGCAGGATGAGAATGCATCTGCAGCCTCGTGCCTTTGTCTTTCAATCAGGGCAGGACAGCTGCAAAGTCAAGATCATATGTTTTATCTGTCATTCTCTATGCTTCCTTTTTTTGAAGATGTTTTGTGAGCTGTTGTTTTCTTCTCTTAATGGCAACGGATAATCTGCTATTGAAGCTCATAAAATTACTTGGACCTACAAAAGGCATGCTGTTGCTGATTTTAAGGAAGTCTAGTAAATTCTCTTCAATAAATAATTTTTCTTCTTTTTTTGAAATATTTCAACCTATAAACTATCTACCTGATTCTGTTTTTGACTGATTAAAATTCAAAATCCTGAATTTACAAAATTGCAAGACTGACAGAAGACCAGCTACTGAATGGTGCAAAGTTCTACATTTCAAATTATGCAAAAGACTTTTCGTCAGGAAAAAAAATGGAAAATTAAATAGTCAACACAGGGATTTAAGTTGCTATTGATCAAAGTTTGAGAAATTTAAAAGAATTTTAAAAAAAAAATTCCTGATCTCTCTTTCTGGGCATACACTTTCCAGTTTCCAGCATTCTGCCTTAATTTTTAATTTCCATACTACTCGAGAAAAAAACTTTGATAAAGAAAAATTACGTCTTCCCTTGAGATTAAAATCACATTCTTACAATTTTGAACCCAATACACATAATCGAACTTCTAGTGATTTCTCTAATAATAAACTTTTTCAAGCATCATACGCTATAACTATGTTGTGCAGCTGAAAACTGAGGGCAAGCATCAGAAAAATTTATGCTAGAATTATGCAATGCACATAGAGAACTAACTAAACAGCAAATTAGAGGTAATAGCTAGTGACATGAAGACTAGCATGAGACAAAGCTGGTTAGAAAACAGTAAAGTAGGAAAGACAAGATTACCATTCAGTGGCATGCCTTATACTTGAGCTTGGACGAAATGCTCTCTTCCCTGATATACTTGGCTTCAATTCACCTACTGTAACCACACCCATCTCCTTATTAGAAAAAGAAACCTGGCAATTCAGCCTTCGATTTCCCTCTGAAAGTTCTGCACCACCAACCCCACTAACGAGTAAGTGTCTCTCTTTCAAGAATCTTACTGTTTTTAACAACCCATCTCCTAGTACAAACGAAAACAGGAGTTATTATCTTTCTTCTGACAGGTTGTTTTAAGGGACAACTTTGTTTCTTTATTTCTATTTAGAAAGAGAAAACTAGAGTGAGATGGAAGTCACGGCAGGATTTAAAATCATGACCATTTGGTTAAAAAAAAAAACTCGGATATTATATAAAAAAATAATTTCAATTAAAAACGTAAATCATGAGACAAGATTAATAAATGATTTTATATTAATTCTCTAACAGAACCTATGCTGGATTAATCTAAAGTCGAGAGTGAAGAGGAATTTATTTTTATTTTTTATTTTTCTTTTGAGAAGACTTTTGATATATACTTTAATGAGTGTTTATAATGTGCTTAATCTAAAGTCAAGAATTTGTGCAATCGCACTTTTCGGTGAAAGGCAGCGAGGTGTGGCCTTTTTTCTTGCATGGTTTTTGTGTTTTGAGAATTTTGCAGGAATCCTGAAGGGTTGCAGTGCTTTTAGGGGATGTAATCATAGCTAGTGAAAGCTACCCACATAAAGATTAGCTTAATTTAATTCTATATTATGTGTAAAGCTCACTAAAGTGGAAATTAAGAGGATGAGTTGGATTACATGTTATTATGAGATCCACAGTCCTCCAACTTAAGCTGCTTTTTATGGGGGATTAATGTATCCTATTTTAGTCTAAGATGCAAACTTGTAAGCTTTTGAGAGAAAGTAGCCTACTTTTTTTTTCTTTTTTCCTGATAGGTAGAGACTTTGCAGCCCACTTAATTGTTAGACGTTAAAAAATTAACGTTAATAATTGATAATTAACCAAAAAAAAAAAAAAAACCCGCATTATCATGACAAACTGACCTCTAAAAATAAAATGTTAGTAGCAGTAGCCTGTTTTATGAGTGCTCACACACCCAAAGAAATGGAAAATACCATCCTAATTTAAGCATTGCAGTTTGGACATTTCAGTTTCATGGTTACTAAAAGCATTGCATTAATTTACCACTAAAAAGCTATTAAGGGAAATTAAGAGGATGAGTTGTCTAATGATATCATACCTCATCCCACGTCGATCAAGATCCTCAAGTACCAAATCTGTTTAAGACTCTCTTCTCATTTATAAGTACGAAGAAAGAATTATTCAGCATATAATTTTTATTTTTTTCTATGGGAAATGATTTTACGAATTCGTGTCAACCGTTAATGAAATGGGATTCGCCAATGGACTCTACTTGATCAACAGTGGCATGAAATTTATGCCCTCTAGTAGTACTCTTTTCCAACAAATATCTTTTATGGATAAAATTCAGTGCATTTCATTGTGTTGTTGACGATTTTATATTTCAAAAAAAAAAAAAATACTTAACATTAAGAAAAAAATTAAAAAAAAAATCTGAGAATACATAGAATTGTCGGATTATTAACTTAATATGGAATCCAATTGTGGATTCTCAAATATCCATGTGTGTTTTAATAGAATCTATAGTGTTTAGCATTATTCAAAAACTAATTACAAAAATTATAGTCACTATAACCTTATTCTTTTTTATTTAAATTTTTTTAGCCGCCTTCTCACAATTTTCCTTTTTAAAAAAAAATTAATGTTAAATATTTTTAAAGCATGTTATCACAATTGGCCATCCTTTAATTTTAGTTTTATTTATAGTTTAATTTTTTTAATTTTAATGAAAGTTAATTCTAAGAAATGAAGTTACGATTCTGATATTGACTTAGCCTTCGAGGTAGTAGATTTAATTGTAATTGATCTAAAAACTTATCCGAATATGTCCTATTATTTATAAATATAAAATAAAAAAATGGGAAATATGTCCTATTATTTATAAATATAAAATAAAAAAATGAATTTCCCATATCATATATTAATTTAGAAATTTGCCTAAAACATAGACTGATATAAATTTGTGTGGGTCAGTACATCTACTGTTGGCATGCATGAATGATGATGACTGTTGGATTAATCATAACTTAAGATTACACGATCAGGTGGTAATGATGATTACATCAATTCCTGCCTTTCTGTGGCTGGATGAGATGAGTACTGGTAGTTTATCAATAACACCTAATTAGTAGCTATAAAAGTTCACTAATCCGGTGGTTAAAATTATCGACTCTGCTGTTTGCCTTTAAACTCTTTTATATATGTGTATATGTATATGTATACTCGTCTAGTTTCTATAATAATTCCTCCTTGCAGGTTTGCAGGCATAAAGAGAGGGCTTGGCTTTTTTTTTTTTTTTTTTCCCTATTATCTTGCTTTTTCTCCTGATTCCCCCTTGGCTGAAAAAGTCAGCATCTTATTTGTTGTTTAGAATCAAACTAGTGTTTGACTTGCGTATTGCTGCCCTTTACAGCTATATATATTTATCTAGATTTTATGTTTTTTTATTACATATATTATGATATTGTTTTATCATATTATTTAATTTAATTTATATTTTGTATGGATGAACAAATAATTTAGTGCAAATCTCTAGGTTTAAGTTTAAAATCATTTTTATACCTAAAATACTAAAATTTTCATTTGTTGATGTTGCAAAGAAATATTTTCTTGATATTTGTTTAGTATAAATGTTTTTTTTTCTTGATATATATTTGTGTGTGTGTAAAGTCAATTTGTTTGTTTGATGTTTAGTAATATCATTTCATTTTTTACAGTGATTATTCGACTTGGTTGGATTTTTATTATTGCTAGTTTATTTTTTAATTATCATTTTTAATATAAGAAAAACCTTAAGGATTGGCAAACTATATATCATTTATCCAAATTTGATTTTTTATCATCATATAGAATAGATAAAGTACGTCAGTTTCATATGAAAAAAAAAAAAACTTTTTTATGTTCCTAAGCCATAAATAACTGGTTTTCATATACATACTTCGCACACAGAAGAATTATTTCCTCTTTTATTTTCTTATTTTACTTTTAATTATTGATTAATTTTTTATATTTTTTTAATTATGAGACAAATAAACTAAAATACATTTGTAAAATCTCTCTCTCTCTCTCTCTCTCTCTCTCTCTCTCTCTTTAAAACAAATTAAGATAGTTTATATATATATATATATATATATATAAACTATCTTAATTTGTTTTAAAAAGAGAGAAGATGATTTTGGTTTAAAATTTAACTCCAAAATCTATACACGAGAGAAAAATAAAAATCATATTTGTTAGCAAATAAAATTTTATAAAAAAAAATTAATTGGGTAAGAATTTCCATAAAAAATGAAAAATTGAAATAGTTAATTTTAAAAAATAAGAATATTATAATATATGCATACATATATGTGTGCGTGTGTATT